TTGTGGTGGGTGGTGTGGTGGTGGTGGTGGTGGTGGTGGTGGTGGTGGTTCTGGTGGTGGTGGTTCTGGTATGGTGGTGGTGGTGGTTCTGGTGGTGGTGGTGGTGGTGGGTGGTGGTGGTGGTGGTGGTGGTGGTTGGTGTGTGGTGGTGGTGGTGGTGGTGGTGGTGGTGGTGGTGGTGGTGGTGTGGTGGTGGTGGTGTGGTTGTCTGGTGGTGGGGTTAGGGCGGTGGTGGTTATGGCGGTGGTGGGTTATGGTGGTGTGTGGTTCTGGCAGGGGGGTGGTTCTGGCGGTGGTGGTGGTGGTGGGGTTCTGGTGGTGGTGGGGTTCTGGTGTGGTTATGGTGGTGGGGGGTTATGGTGGTGGTGGTTATGGTGGTGGTGGTATGGTGGTGGTGGTGGTTCTGGTGGTGGTGGTCTAGTTCTGCGGGCGGTGACCGTTGGTTCTGGTGCGTGCGTGTCGTCCGTTGTGTCGTGTCGTCAGTCCAGGGCGTGTCGTCCCGGGTGTCGGGTGGGGTGGCACCTGGTGGGGTGTGGGGTGGGGTGCGTGGGATGTGGGTGGGTGTGGGATGGGGTGGGTGGTGAGATGGGATGGGTGGGTGTGGTGCGAATGTGGGTCGGTGGGAGTAGGTGGGCTAGATGTGGGTTTGACTACACAAGAACTTCATGCGCACTGTCCGACTCAACCGTGAAGAAAAAAAACGCTCTTCCGCCACGCGCCGCATTTCGTTTTTATCGCGTTTACATTTGCGATAAGTGACAGCTTTCTGCATTCGGGGTTCGTGGCTCCTATCAGGTTTTTTTTTTGCTTTCTAGATTGGTTTCTTGATCTCACGATATCTGCAAATAGTTTCCGAAGTCTTAGAACTCCAATTTTACGAAACTTGTGGTACGTAGGTCTGGAAGACTCTGAGTGGTGGCTGCACCGTCATGTAGGAGCCGCCGAGGGTGTAGACCGTGGAGGCAGGGAATTTTGAATCCAATGGTGAGCAGCCTCTGCAATCAATCTTAGGGTGTTGGCTGAGTCAGCGCCCTGGTCGCTATCATTTCCCTGTGAACGTCCTTGCGAATAGTGTTCCACGAACAGCACAGCAGGACATGGATGCCCCCGCTGCAGCGCAGCTGCGGCATCCAGTGCAGCAGCCACAACTTGGCAGATGGCCTTTTTGGCGATGTCAGGCCGAAAATGCACGGATTTGGAGTTGTAGAGGACAAGCTCAGAGTGGTTGGGTTCTAGGGTTCAAGGCTGAGGGAGCTGAACTTCAACGCCCCAAACCCGAACTCGCAGCCCTCGGGGCCTTGTGCCCGGCGGGGAAGAGCCTTCCCCGCCTAACACCCTGACACCCTGAAACCCTAAACCCTGAACTCGCCAGGTTGAGGGTTTGGGGTTTCGGGCTTAGGGGTTAAGCTTTAGCGTATCGGGTGTACGGTGCATTTTTGCTCTCACGCCCTCATCGGCAATCGGAGGAGATACGAACGGCAGCCAACTGGGTGAGACAGCACCGCTGCCAGTCGCAACGAGGGCACTAAGTTCTCCCCTTTTTAAACCCTTCTACTCCTTTAAACCCTTTACACCCTTTAGCCCCTGTAGACCCTTCAGACCCTATAAGCCCTGAACCCTCAACATCCCTAAACCCTATAAACCCCTAAACCCGGAATTCTAAAGACTACGCGGCAATGGAGAGTCCAAGACTCCTCGGTTGCGGCCAAGCCCAACATCCTAAACCTCAAGCCACCCAGACCCTAAACCCAAACCTCCTCACACAATGCACTGGCTATTGAAACCCTAGTGCTTAAACCCCTAACTTGGAACAGCCCACAGGCAAGTACATCTCCGCCTCTGGGTGCCATGCGTCATGCGGCAGGTAAAGGACTCGCGCTCGCCTCCGGCTGCGGTTCTATATGACGCCTACAGGGATTTCTAGGGAGCTTTGCAGAGTCTTTAACCCCAAGAAGCCCTCAAAAGACCCTGTGCCCAAAAAACCTCCCCCGTGGATTTTTGCCTTGCTCGCAAGACCAAGACAACTCGTGCGGGCCCCCGGCTTCTTTTGTCTCTGGTACCGGCTCATTCGCTCTAGGCCCATTAGCTCTTACACCATGCAAAGCACCGCACAACACCGTGGGTGACTGCGGTGCAAAGGGGAGATTTTTATGAATTCCGAGCTCCGTCCTCCTCTTCGCGAACCTGACGACATGTTTCGCCCAAGGTTTCTAGCACTTGCTTTGTCCAGGCGCGGATGTCATCTGGCTCTTCTTTCATGGTGAGGCAGATCAAGTCCATGAGCCTCTTCGTCACAGAGTGTGGCAAGCGGCATGCGGGCAGCTCATTTGGCGTGATCGCAGCAAAAAGCGCGCTCCACTCCGAGGCATCCATGTTCGATGGCTGGAGGCTGGCCATGGGCAGTAGGCCCGAGTACACAAAGCTCAGGCTAAACAGTCCGGCGGCCAGCTTGCCGTGGCTCAGCATCGGGGAGGCTGGAAAGCACATCACCACGGCGCGCGCAGACAGCAAAGCCTTTGCTTGCATCTGCTGGACTGGAGCTTGGAACTCCCGGCCCAGGTGTCCAAAGCGAGTGAAGTAGAGAAGGCACCACTTCTCTGCACAGGGAAGTTCCACCTGGCAATCCAGTGCCTTGAGAAGCCTCAGCTCATGCAGCGCGAGTTCGTGCCTGGACATTGTGGACCCTTCTGAAGTCACCAAGTTCTGTGTGGCTGTCAGCCACGTCGCAAAGTCCTTGATCCAGGACATACTGGGGCTGTCCTCGCCCGGGACCATCGCCATACCGAAGGCACACTTCAACATAAGCCTCGTCAAGCACACGCAAGTCAGCGGCAGCTGTTCCAAGCGGAAGGAGTTGCTTGCCGTGACGCGATCAAGAAGGAGGGCCGCTTGAAAGCAGGCGCCTTCACCCAGGGTATCCACTAGCATCTTGAACATGCAACGCAAAGCCCTCACGCGGACTGATCTGTCGAGGTTGCCTGGCATCGGCATCTCACGAGACTCTTTGTAGCAATCGATCATATCGGAAGAGGCACCCATGCGATGCAGTTCCTCCTCCATCGTCTCGGAGATCATCGTCTCATACTGGGCATCTGGCTCCCGGGCAGGGGATCTTTGATCTTCCTGCATCGGGAGCGCACGGTGCCTTGCTGCGAATGCGAGTGGAGGGAGCTCACGAGCCAGGATGGCTTCAGAAGAAGCTCAACCCTAAAGACCCTAAACCCCAAACCGGTACTCCGGAGCCCTTTCCGAGATAAGGCTTTAAGGCTTGAAGGGGAGCCCGGCAACATCTTGCAAAATGCGGCAAAAAGTCGGCCTGCAGGAGTACGTCCCCGACAAGAGAGCCACTGGCGTCGGATGGCTCCTCCGAGATCAAGGTGATACCGGACCACTACAGACACCTACAGACACCTCACTTCTCGCAAAGCACCGTAAACTCCAAAAATCCCACGCAGGAGCACCTCCTTCAGCTCGCCCTCAGATCCCCTTAGAAAAAGGACTGATGTGTGCTGTAGGCGGCTGCTGGGTTCCCTCTGTGCCCAAACGACGAATTTAAAGAAACTGAAGCCCTGAGCCCCACAACTCTGAGAACCCGACGTCGATGGCCCTTTGTTGCTCTACTAGGGGGTAGGGTTTAATGTCTCGGGTTTGGGGGTGAGGGTTTTGTGCTCCAATTCTGCAACTAGGGTTCAGGGTTCCGGGCTCACGGCTTAAGGGGGCCCCACGAGGCCCGAGGCCCCAAAAACCCCAGAACCCTGAAACTCTAAATCCCTCCCATGGCCTCACATGGACGTGCAAGCTGCGCTGACCCGCACCCGCTATCCTTGTGGCGTTCGCCTGGGAAGGAAAGGTTTACTGTGGGGGGTTCACTGGGTTTAGGGAATATGTAGGGTTTATAGGTGTTATATGAATAATTCTTAGGATTCACAGGATATAGGGTATCTAGGGGTTATAGGCTCTGGGGGGGTGTGCCGGGTTTATCGGGCGCATCGGGCTTATAGGGATAGCAGGATCTAGAGGGCGTACAGATGTTCGGCATATAGGGCTTTAGGTTCTTCTACAAACCCTGGTTTAGACGGCTCCACGGCGATCTACAGCAGCTACACAGCTACAGTAGACTTCGGCATACTGCTCCTATATGCTCCTATCGTCTGCAGAAAAACAACAGGAAAGTAAACCCTAAACTGTTTCAACCCCTGTCTGCCACCCTAAGTGTCGCTAGTTGGGGACCCTAAACTTGACGGCTCAGTGGCGCTACCCAGCTGCCAAGGATCACAGCGCGCAGAAGCCGCGAGCCGATGCAGCGACGCCTTGGTCCACTCGAGATTCGACTGTTTGCTCAATAGGGATTAGGGTGCAACGTGCGGCGATGGTCCGAAACAGCTGGACCTCACGCGGGCTTTTTTAAATTGAGTGGACATGCTTTCGACAGCACATGTTTTGATTGCTGAGCCCATTTGCGCAGCATAGCGGCATTGGTGTTTGCACCCCTCACGTTGTCAAGCACTATTGCGCTAGCACGAAAGTTTGTCGCCATCTGGTGTTGCTTTCCAGAGAAGTGTTCATGTCTTCAAGTCTTGGCATCATTTCAAGCCCATGCGTCAAGGATCATGCCATCGTCCAAGCGACAGTCCTTCGTCATTGCAGGAGCTTTCGTATTCCGAGTCGCTTCTGCCGACTTGTTCAGGATACAGCTCTTAGGAAAAATGTTGGTTGAACCTGGTCCCCTTAGGTGGGACAATATCGAATTATGGAATTGCATCTCTTCTACAAAGTTCGTCAGCCCTCGCTGCTGCCCCACCACCGCCAGCATTGTCGACCAAGGAGGCAGTTGAGCAGCCATCAGAATCATCGCTCTGGCCACTACGGCAACCATGGCCCCAGGTCACAACAGACCCATCAATGCGAATGGCAGCAAAAGCCGCGCAGAAAGCCTGGATTTGCTGCACGCCTCTTGGACACGACTGCTGTTGCTGGCCCCCCAGGTCACAACATTGCCATCACCCAAGATGGCAGCAAAGGCAGATGTGGATGCTTGGATCTGTTGCACGTCCTTCAGCTGACTTTGGACGGCACTGCTATCACCGCCACGGTTAGCATCGCCCCAGGTCACAACAGACCCATCGCCCAGAATGGCAGCAAAAGCGTCGCTGGTAGCTTGGATCCGCTGTACGTTCTTGAGCTGGTCTTCCACATCACTGCAGTCGCCGCCGCTGCCTTCATCACCCCAGGTCACGACGGACCCATCACCCAGAACGGCAGCAAATGCGAAATCGGTAGCTTGGATCTGCTGCACGTCCTGCAGCCGATGTTGTGCGTCACTGCTGTCGCCGCCACTGAAACAACGGCCCCAGGTCACAAAATCCAACGAAAAAAATTATCAGGGTACAAAAAAACCATGACGGTTGCAAACGTTCATGGGGGTCCGTGACGGTTGCAAACGTCCATGGGGGTCCATGACGGTTAGAAACGTCCATGCGGGTCCATGACAGTTAGAGACGTCCATGAGGGTCCATGATGGTCGCAAACGTCCATGGGGGTCCATGACGGTTGCAAACGTCCATGGAAGTCCATGACGGTTGCAAACGTCCATGGGGGTCCATGACGGTTGGAAACGTCCATGGGGGTCCATGACGGTTGGAGACGTCCATGGGGGGTCCATGATGGTCGCAAACGTCCATGGGGGTCCATGACGGTTGCAAACGTCCATGGGGGTCCATGACGGTTGCAAACGTGCATGGGGGTCCATGACGGTTGGAAACGTCCATGGGGGTCCATGACGGTTGGACACGTCCATGGGGGTCCATGACGGTCGCAAACGTCCATGCAGGTCCATGACGGTTGGAAACGTCCATGGGGGTCCATGATGGTTGGAAACGTCCACGACGGTCCATGACGGTCGCAAACGTCCATGGGGGTCCATGACGGTTGCAAACGTCCATGGGGGTCCATGACGGTTGGAGACGTCCATGGGGGTCCATGACGGTCGCAAACGTCCATGGGGGTCCATGACGGTTGCAAACGTCCATGACGGTTGCAAACGTCCATGGGGGTCCATGACGGTTGGAAACGTCCATGGGGTCCATGACGGTTGCAAACGTCCATGGGGGTCCATGACGGTTGCAAACGTGGATCCATGGGGGTCCATGACGGTTGGAAACGTCCATGGGGGGACCATGACGGTTGGAGACGTCCATGAGGCTCCATGACGGTCGCAAACGTCCATGGCGGTCCATGACGGTTGCAAACGTCCATGGGGGTCCATGATGGTTGGAAACGTCCATGGCGGTCCATGACGGTTGCAAACGTCCATGGGGTCCATGACGGTTGGAGACGTGCATGGGGTCCATGACGGTTGGAGACGTCCATGGCGGTCTATGACGGTCGCAAACGTGCCATGGGGGTCCATGACGGTTGGAAACGTCCATGGGGGTCCATGACGGTTGGAGACGTCCATGGGGGTCCATGACGGTTGCGCAACGCTCATGGACGCTCATGGGGCTGTGGGGGAACAAGGACGCCAGGGGAGCGCCGCGACGACCATGACGCTCATGGGTTCGGGCGCGGGAGTTCATAAGAGTTCCGCAACGCTCATGGACGTTCATGGGGGCGCATGACGGTCCATGCCGGTTGCAGAACGCTCATGGACGCTGGGGGAAAAGGACGCCAGGGGAGAGCCGCGACGGCCATGACGCTCATGGGTTCGGGGGCATGGGAGTTCATGAGAGCTCCGCAACGTTCATGGACGCTCACGGGGGCCCATGTGACGGTCCATGACGGTTGCGCAACGCTCATTGACGCTCACGGGGCTGTGCGGGGAAAAGAACGCCGGGGGAGCGCCGCGACGACCATGACGCTCATGAGTTCGGGGGAATGGGAGTTCATGAGAGTTCCGGAACGCTCATGGACGCTCATGGGGGCCCATGACGGTCCATGACGGTTGCGCAACGCTCATGGATGCTCATGGGGCCGTGGGGGGAACAAGGATGCCAGGCGAGGGGGAGGGCCCGACGACCATGACGCTCATGGGTTCGAAGGCATGGAAGTTCATGAGAGTTCCGGAACGCTCATGGACGCTCATGGGGGCCCATGACGGTCCATGACGGTTGGAGGCCAGACTTCACCGATCTGTGGCCTACTTTGCGAAAGGAGTCTGGCGTCACAGAGCACTCCAAGGGCAAAGGCAACGGGAAGAAAAGGACAGACCGGGCCCTAGCGAAGCTACCGCGGTGGCAGCCGGTGGATGTGCAGCTGATGTTTGATCAGGCCCTTCTGCCGGGACCTTTTTTGCTCGACGTTCTCCCGTCGATGTACAGCAATTTCGTGCATCTCAAGCCTGAGGTGGACACCAACGGCACCTTCATAAGCGACCACCTGGGCCTGTTGACATTGAGCAAAACGCAGATGTGTCGAGGTCGCAAGATGGCTGACGACACCGCAAGCCAGCTCGTGACAGGTTTTTCCATGTATCTGCTGCCACTCCGCAAAGCGGACGTGTGATCGATGCCAAGACTTTTTCAGGGAGTCGATGCTGGGGGAAAGAGCACAATTCGCAGCTCCTAAATGTCCCTTCTCTGCAGCTATGCATGAGGGAATCGTAAGGGTAACTGGCTGGTATCGTGGTTTCAGGCTTGTATCTTTGTTCCGAGGCGATGCAGTCTAGATTCAGTTCTTCAGAGAATTTTAAGGGCAAGGGGAGCAGCTACGGTTGGAGGTAAGTTAATGCAGGTTGATGCTCTGCGCAATGGTTTCGGAAACCATCAGGGTACATGCCCGCGCATGCAAACGTTCTTTGTCTGGTTTTGCCAGAAGTGCAGGGGCATGGAGAAAGGTGGGCTTATCGAAGCATTCCGAAGCTCAGCTCACTTGGGCCAACAGGTTTGGGGAAAAGGGTTTTGGCCCGGTTCATCCGTAACCCGGGCCTGGATGCAGTAAGGGTTTACTGTGGAGGTCACTTCGGCTTCCCTACCTTTTGGAGTTGATTTCTTGCCCTCTTTTTGTGTCTCCAAATCCACACACCTTTCACCACCCGCACACTTCCACACTTGAACAGCCAGCAGAACCCAGCCGACACACACGCAAACGCACACCACCCACCAAAGCCACTTTGCACCACACCATGACACACACGACTCTCTGCCAAAACGCCGAAAACAACAACACACCACACCCATTCACAATGAAAACAAGGTAAACACACACAGACACCACTGCAAGGTCACTGTTTTTTTTTAATTGGTGTCACTTCTGAGACTCCATGCGTTACCACCCTTTACCCACACACTGACACTTTCCTTGCACACTGAAGCCAAAGACATGCACCCGCAAACCAACCCACTTTGCAACCACAAATGCTCACACACACACACACACACACATCTACAACACTCTTGCACATGCACACTTAGGAAGAACAGCCGAAACTACAAAATGCACATTCTTATGGATATCTTAAGTTCCGATTGCAATTTTTTTCACTGTCTTTCTGGTTAATCGACAGCTTACCAGGCTGACAGCACTCACCAAAACACTTGCTAAACGATCTGTTTGTGTTTTAGTTCAGGGCGGTCTCTCGAAACTCTCTTTTTCTGAAGCTTGCAACTCAACCGAGAAATCATTCCGACAACAAAGAAAACATTGAGCAAAAAGCAAGAGAAAAATTCTGTTCAGACGGGCAAAGGCAATTTGAACTGAACAAACCAAAGTGTTGCTGTGCATAAGTCTGCTGCTGAATCTGAAGAAAGTTGTCCAAGTTCACGACTCTGGCTTCTTTCCAGTGTTTTGTCGATTTCTCCAAAGTTCAAAAAGAAAAACCAATGTTTTTGCAGTTCTTGCTAACATTGAAAAAAAAACAATCACACTAACTTCTCCTCATTATGGCCAGAACAACTTGAGAGTCGCCCAGCCTCGATTTCCATTCCATTCGACTTTTGACAAAGCTTCGATTGCTTTCTCTTGTTTTTGATTTTTAAGAATGGCCAAACAGAAATTCAAGGCACACTGAAATTTGACAGAAGATTGAGCAGAAGAAACTCTGCTTTCTTTCAGGCTGGTTGCCCTCAATTCTTTGTCTTTCGTTTTTGGTTGCGTGTTGCAATTCTTCCCTGGATTCAGCACCATTCAACGAATTTTCAAAATTTCTGAAGTCTCCGAAAATGTTGAAAAAAACCTCAAAATCAACACTTGATCAGTCAAATTTGTTGAATTTACTCTGGTGTTTCGCTCGCTTCGCTCGCACTTATTCACATTCTGGTAATACACTTTGCAATTTTCAAGTGGTTTGGCTTGGGCGTCGCGCGCAACCTTAACGAATCAACACCACGGTTGAACTCGTCTCGTCCTGCAGTTGATTTCTGTCCAAACGGCACTGTCAGAGGCTTTTAAAAACACTTGTTTCAAAGCATTGAACTTTTCCAAGCTGCAGTTTCCACCGATGTTGACTCTGCACCCTTCTTTTCTCCTCTTCTGCCTTCAGGCCTTGCACCAAAACCTGGAGAATCTGAAACCCAAGATGAGGGGCAGCAAAATTGATCGAAAAGGTAGGGAAGCTCCAGTGACCTCCACAGTTAGAGAAAGTTCCGGCGCCAAACAAGTTCACACTTTGCCGCCTTGCTGCCTGCTGTTCGAATTTTTGGGGGAAGACTGACACAAGACTTAGACTGGAACCGACTGAGAGGCTTATTTGTTTTACTCGCAACGAGGAGCTGTGAAAGCAGGATCTGGCTTCCCGTGTGTGAAAAAACGCCGCAACTGGGCCCACAAATGGCTCCTAAACTTGGGTTCCAATTTGAGGCTCCAACCTGGGTGGCCTTGTATGTTCACACAGGAAATCCAAAATCTAGGGCCCGTTTTCGGTGCCCAGAATTGAGCTGCTTTTGGAACCCTTTCGAGTACAATAATAATTGAAATCAACTCACAGACAAACAAGATTTTTTCTATTCGATACTGTTTGCATCAACACTCAAGAAAACAAAAAACGCCGTCGATACGCGTGTTCTTGGCTTTGCTAAACTTGTCTTTAGCTGGCATTCAAGACAAAGCACTCTTGCATTGTTCGCGCGCGATCTTTCTCGCACTGTGGAGGTCACTTCGGCTTCCCTACCTTTTGGAGTTGATTTCTTGCCCTCTTTTTGTGTCTCCAAATCCACACACCTTTCACCACCCGCACACTTCCACACTTGAACAGCCAGCAGAACCCAGCCGACACACACGCAAACGCACACCACCCACCAAAGCCACTTTGCACCACACCATGACACACACGACTCTCTGCCAAAACGCCGAAAACAACAACACACCACACCCATTCACAATGAAAACAAGGTAAACACACACAGACACCACTGCAAGGTCACTGTTTTTTTTTAATTGGTGTCACTTCTGAGACTCCATGCGTTACCACCCTTTACCCACACACTGACACTTTCCTTGCACACTGAAGCCAAAGACATGCACCCGCAAACCAACCCACTTTGCAACCACAAATGCTCACACACACACACACACACACATCTACAACACTCTTGCACATGCACACTTAGGAAGAACAGCCGAAACTACAAAATGCACATTCTTATGGATATCTTAAGTTCCGATTGCAATTTTTTTCACTGTCTTTCTGGTTAATCGACAGCTTACCAGGCTGACAGCACTCACCAAAACACTTGCTAAACGATCTGTTTGTGTTTTAGTTCAGGGCGGTCTCTCGAAACTCTCTTTTTCTGAAGCTTGCAACTCAACCGAGAAATCATTCCGACAACAAAGAAAACATTGAGCAAAAAGCAAGAGAAAAATTCTGTTCAGACGGGCAAAGGCAATTTGAACTGAACAAACCAAAGTGTTGCTGTGCATAAGTCTGCTGCTGAATCTGAAGAAAGTTGTCCAAGTTCACGACTCTGGCTTCTTTCCAGTGTTTTGTCGATTTCTCCAAAGTTCAAAAAGAAAAACCAATGTTTTTGCAGTTCTTGCTAACATTGAAAAAAAAACAATCACACTAACTTCTCCTCATTATGGCCAGAACAACTTGAGAGTCGCCCAGCCTCGATTTCCATTCCATTCGACTTTTGACAAAGCTTCGATTGCTTTCTCTTGTCTTTGATTTTTAAGAATGGCCAAACAGAAATTCAAAGCACACTGAAATTTGACAGAAGATTGAGCAGAAGAAACTCTGCTTTCTTTCAGGCTGGTTGCCCTCAATTCTTTGTCTTTCGTTTTTGGTTGCGTGTTGCAATTCTTCCCTGGATTCAGCACCATTCAACGAATTTTCAAAATTTCTGAAGTCTCCGAAAATGTTGAAAAAAACCTCAAAATCAACACTTGATCAGTCAAATTTGTTGAATTTACTCTGGTGTTTCGCTCGCTTCGCTCGCACTTATTCACATTCTGGTAATACACTTTGCAATTTTCAAGTGGCTTGGCTTGGGCGTCGCGCGCAACCTTAACGAATCAACACCACGGTTGAACTCGTCTCGTCCTGCAGTTGATGTCTGTCCAAACGGCACTGTCAGAGGCTTTTAAAAACACTTGTTTCAAAGCATTGAACTTTTCCAAGCTGCAGTTTCCACCGATGTTGACTCTGCACCCTTCTTTTCTCCTCTTCTGCCTTCAGGCCTTGCACCAAAACCTGGAGAATCTGAAACCCAAGATGAGGGGCAGCAAAATTGATCGAAAAGGTAGGGAAGCTCCAGTGACCTCCACAGTAAGTTTGCACGGTTCACGAGGGAGCTCCCGGGCGACGAGGCAATCCCGATGCTAGAGGCTGCCGTGCTGAAAGCGTGTGGCTTGCTTGTCACGCCCACTTTCCCCTTCTCATTGCCAAGGTTGCAGTGGAAACCCCAAGGGTCTGAGGTAGCAGGGGGGCCCCAAGAAGTTGGGCCCCTGCATTCTAGAAAACCCCCAACTTAAACCTTAACCCATACTAAGCCCTAAAGGCCCCAAACTCAAGAACCCTTAACCGGATTCAGGCCGACATGATGCTCAAGAAGGGCGCGGCCGAAGTGGATGCGGGTCACGTGAAGGCGGCTCTGAAATTGAGGGTTTTGAACGGGTTCGGGAAGAGTTCGAACCTGGTTCTACACAGTTTGGGGCCCCGAAGCCCTAAATCCTAAACCCCAAACCCAAAGCCCTAAACCGTATGTTGATCCAAATAAAAGCATCCGATTTCGAGATCCTCGCAAGCTTGGAGCAAACCACCCCTGCACCCAAAGCCCCGCAAATCGAGAAACGTTGGAAACCCTGAACCCTTATGTCCCTGAACATTAAGCCTCCCGGGTTTCCTTATGAGTAGGGCACGGGTTCTGAACGTGAGGGTGTCATTGATCCGGGGATGGGCCAAGAAAATCAAGCCGAAAGACATGAACCAATGTCATGGTAAAATCGCAGCAGTTGGTTTCAAAAGAAGTGCGAGTGTGCGGTATCATTGCGGCGGGCTGGAACCCACCTTTCCACTTCCGCACACCTCGGCCATAAGCCCTAAGGGCTTTGAGATCTAAAGCCCGAAG